CGCCACGGGCGGCGCGGGGGGTGGGGGGGCGGCACGGGGCTGCGTCATCAGCCGGCGCCGGACTACGTCAGCGGTGCGCGCTGGGCAGTGGGGCGTGAGGCCATGGCGGCTGTGGGGCGCCGCGGGGCGGGCGCCCCGTTCTTGTTCCTCCCTCCGCTCGGGGGTCCCGTTCCTGTTCCCCTCCCTCCGCTCCGGGGTCCCGTTCCCGTCCCTCCCTCCAGGCAGTGCTCAAGCTCCGCTGAGGTGAGCGGGTGGGTTGGGTTGGGTTGGGAAGGACCTCCGAGCTCATCTCGTTCCAGGCCCTGACAGAATTCCTCAGAGAACTGAGTAGCGTTACTGTTGTAGGTATTGAGAATCTGCCGTGCGAGCTGCAGAGGAACTTCCAGCTGATGCGGGAGCTGGATCAGAGAACGGAAGGTGCGTGAGGGCGGGCAGGGGCACAGGGAGCCGGCCTAAGGAGGGGCAGAGCCCCGTGGGGCCGGGCTTTGGGGGCCGTGGCTGTTCCTCCTCTCGGGCTGGGTGCTCTGCAGTGTTTGCTGCTGTCCTGGGAGCATACAGCTCACGTGGCAGGGCTTGGTTTTGTTTCCAGTTTAAATTCACAGCTCTGTGGTCACTCCACTCAGTGGCCACTTGGATGGCCTTCCTTCCATGTGTTTCTATATCTAAAAAATTCTGGATTCCTGTGTGCCTTGCAGGATGACTTTTTCCTTCCTTTTTGAAGCTTTTGTTGGTATCTGTCTGCACATTAATTATTTTAGTTTTGAATTATCAGAGCTGTGACTGCACAACAGTTAAAATGTTCTGTATGTGGGAAGAGAGGCTGAAACTTGTGAACACATGGGTTCAGTTCCTGATCTTAACTGTAAATTAACTTCTGAATTAGCTGTAGAACACTAGAGAAAGCAGAATCACACCACAGGTGCCAAAGAGTGAGCACCTCTAACTTAACTGGGTTTGTTTTTGAAAAGGAAAATGCATTGAGCAATTGAGGGGAGCGTAACAGCTGTCAGGAAGGGTGTCCTAAATGGAAATAGAAAACCAAAAATACCTTTTTTTTTCTTTTTTCCAGACAAGAAAGCAGAGATTGACAGCCTGGCAGCAGCCTACATCGAGTCTGTGAAGAACATGGTGCCTGAGGAGAGGGTGGAGCACCTGAGGAAGATCCAGAGTGCCTACAGCAAGTGCAAGGAGTACAGTGATGACAAAGTGCAGCTGGCCATGCAGACCTACGAGATGGTGAGCCATGGGAAATGGGCATCCTCTGCACTGCTGCCCGTGGAGGTGCTTCACAGTGTCAGCTTCCCCTCACTTTTTCTTCTTTTTGACTTTAATTTCTCACCAAAACAAATTATTATTCCTCAACCTTATGTTTCTCTCTGTTGCTATCCCCAAAAAGCTTTCTCCTTTGGCATCAGGTTTCTCTTTTGCTGAAGAATTAGTGAGTTTACCCCCCTTGGAGGTGGCTTTATCAGCAGTACTCGTCTGCTGTGTGATAATTCCAGCAAATTTGCCCCACTCCCTCCTCCCCAGCAGCTCTCTGCCACTGATAATTTATTAGGGGCACACTTAGTTGGAAGCAAGTTGGTTTTTTTAAGCCAGCTGCTGTGGAGGAACAGCAGGAATGCTGCTCTGTTGCCTTGGTTTATTGGACATCAAAATTTCCTCAGTGGACTTTGGGAGAAAACCCCATTTCTTAAGATGCAGCTTTCCACTTTTTTTTTTTCCTTCTGTCCCTTAGATAATTCTTCTCTCCACTTGTTTTACCCCCTGGGTGGAAGTTGAGTGAGGGGAATCCTTTTGACTGTACTGAGAGTTTGTTGTCCAGCTTGCAGAGATGCTTGGGGTTTTGCTACAGCTGCAGTAGGTGTTTGGCTGCCATCAAATACTGCAAAGAAAGGAAATTGTGTCCCAGGAATATCAATGCCCTGGATAACTAGTGAGCTCATTTAATGGCAAACTACTGCAGCAGCACAGTTTGGGGGTGGTGCCTTGAAATCCCTCTTCTGAAAGTCACTTTACTGCAGCCAGGGTAGTACCAGGTACTTAATTAATGTGTGTTGACTTGGTATTGAGGCTAGCCAGCTTCTGTATTTATTGTTAAATTTCTTGGATTCCCATGACAGTGGAGGACCAGGGAAAACTCTGTGCTCTTGACACATTTCAAGGACTGCGTGTGAATTTTGGAAATCACAGGGACAAACCCATTATTTTTAGTATCTGGGCTAGCCAGCCTCTGTATTTATTAAATTTCTTGGATTCACATGGCAGTGGAGGACCAGGGAAAACTCTGTGCTCTTGACACATTTCAAGGACTGCATGTGAATTTTGGAAATCACAGGGACAAACCCATTATTTTTAGTATTTCTCCTCTTGTTTTGTTCTGGAAATCATTCCTCTGAGTTGCTTTGACCCTCTGTTGCCTCTCTTCTCCTTCTTCCTGCTCATGGAGGGGTTGGACCCTTGTGCTTTGCCTCCTCGTTCCCTCTGTGCCATTTCCCTTTCCCCAGCCCGTGCCTCTCTCTGCAGCACCCCACTGCTCGTGCTGATAACAGCCAAGTTCAGCCCTTCCTGTTTCCCTCTGGGGCTCCTTTTGGCTGTTTGTGTGGCTCAGGTTGTGGTTTCCTCCTGGGGCAGGTGGATAAGCACATCCGCCGGCTGGACGCCGACCTGGCGCGCTTTGAGGCTGATCTCAAAGACAAACTGGAAGGCAGCGACTTTGAAACCCCTGGATCCAGAAGCCTGAAAAGTGGGTGAATTTTGCACAATTGGGAGCTTTTTCCAGCACTTAGAGTACCAAAGCAGGAAGGCTGAGATGTAAAATAGGCTGTTATTTCTGGAGGAAGGAAAGAAATGTGTTGTTCCGTTTGTTTTTAATGCTCTTACAGTGGGCAGGAGAGGAAGAGAAATGTTGTGCTGGGATCAAACTTACTCTCAGTTTTTCATCCTGAGGTTGTTACTGGTTCTAAGGAGGGTGCTGTGCCAAAACTGCACTGGTGTAACAGTCTTAGTTTTGGGAGAAATTAGGAATTAAAAGAAGATGCCAGTTTCTGTTGTATATCCTGAAATATTGTGTGATTACAGTGACATTTGAATGTGGATACAGCAGCACAGCTTTATGCCTTTGAACAATGAAATAAGGGGTAGGAGCAAGGAGGTGGAGATAAAAGTTATGTTAGTTATTGAGTAATCTATTAACTGTGTTTAAAAATACACTGAGATGGAAAAAAATACTTCATGTCTAATCAAGTGTGATGCTGTTTATGACCTGTGCTGACATACTGCAGTGCTTTATTGCCAAAACTGCAAACACAGGAGTTTGGTGCTCAGTTGTTATTAATTTGGTGGTTTTGTGGCTTAAAAATGCATTTCAGTCAGTGTGTTCAATTGCATATGATAAGGATTACTCAATTTCATATGCAGTAGGGATTTCAAGCCAGTAACTGCATCAAAAGAGCAGCTGGGGATGTTTCTGCCTCTCAGATATGCTGAAGTGAGGGGGGTGTTTTTCCTTTCTAGAGGGACGGAGTCAGAAAGACAAAAGAAGCTCTCGTGGTCGAGGCAGGAGAACATCTGAAGAAGATACACCAAAGAAAAAGAAGCTCAAAGGAGGGTAAGGCAGAGCCAGGCACAACTCCAGGGCCTTGGGCTTGACACTTCATGAATTTTCCACAGGCTCATATTACCCTATTTATGACTCATGTCCAGATGGTGAGCAGTGTTAAGAGTGTTCTGGTCTTACTCCATTTCATTAATGCCCTGCTTAGGACAGGCCAGCATTGTTAATTAACTCCTTGGTTGGCATGTGGAAGCTCAGCATGCTTGGAACACTCTGACTGGAAGGACAAGATCAGCCTCCCTGTTGCTGTTGGCAAGCTGGGAGAAAATAGCTTTGATTTTTGTCACAGAGGTATTTTTAACAGTTGCTTGTGGTCTTGATGGTAAAAGAAATGCACTTGGCCACAGAAACTGATTTTGTGCTGCTGTTGTAGAAATCTTGGAGAATTTTGGGGGGTTATTTTCAAAGGATTGTGTCCTAGGTAGCCTTGAATAATTGGTTTTGAGAGGCAATGAGGAAAGCATGTCCCCTCTCTGAGATGGGATTTATATTAAAGGGGCTCATTTTATTATGATATTTTCAGGTGGCAGGAAAGTAAAAGTAGTTTCTATGGACTGCTGCTGGCATGTCAGCACATCCCTGTCAGAGTAAGAGGGTTCACTCATGCCTGACAATGAGAAAAAAATCAATTGAAGCAGATTGGGGAAAAACCCCAAACAGGTTATTCTACTCACAGCCAGGAGTGATCTGTAT